GAATTTTTTAAACTAGTCAAACATTCAATTGGTTCTCTCAAGATGGCAGATCGGTTAGGAAGTACTTAAAGATCTCCAACACAATAAAGTCCTCTGGATATTTTTCAAGGCTTCAGGTTGATCAAGTAATATTGTGAAGATATTCTCCCAAAACTGTCCATTGATCAGGAAGTATTCAAAAGATCTCCAGCTAATCGAATATGTCAGTGAAGTTCTGTGAATATTCAATTGGATGAAGTTCTATTCTGAAATATCCGATTTTTCATATTCAACAAATTCAGGAAAAAGCTTAAAATATGAAGTCAAAAACTTCATTTATTTAACAAAAATCTTCATATGCCAGCTTGAAATTAAAAAAAAAATGGAAGCCTGCTTCAGCTTCCGCGTGTCTTGAAACAACTTCACAAATCATGAGATGTCTTCAAAATGTCTGCATGAAAAAAATACCTTCACAGAATTTTAAATGTCTTCAAATGAAGAAATGTCTTTAAATCTGGTGTCCCTAGTTTTGAAGGAATCTCCATGTTTTAATCTTTCTTCGAAGGAGATGAAACATACGAATATTAAAATAATTTACTGTCTTTGTTCACTACCCGGGATCCCAGAATTTCCCGGGATATCAAATAAATATTTCCCGAATTCCGGGATGGTGGAAACCACCGGGAAATGGAAGCTCTATTAACAACCACTATAACCGTGTAGCAGCAGCAGCAGCAGCAGCAGCAGCAGCAGCAGCAGCAGCAGCAGCAGCAGCAGCAGAAGACTCGATTTCAGGTTTCGGAAAAGTCCTTCCCGGAGAAATCCTTTTCAAGTAAGTTGGGCTTAAGTACTCTTTTTGTGGAAATATTTAAAACAAGCTATTGTAATTTTCTGGTCTCCTCAACAGCTCCCATATCGATCAGTTGACGTTTGACGGAGCCAATCCTGCTGATATCATGAAGATCCCTCGGAAAACAATTCCTGCGTCAGGTCAGTTCAGTGAAACAAATCTCCAGGCCAACAGGAGGAAACAAATTCACTGCAAATAGCCAACGTTTACCTGCTTTTGCCGGGAGCCAAAGGAGAGAAGACTCCCGAAAAGCAGCAGCCTGCATTGCAGAACGATGTCAGCTGCTTGAATTATAATTTAATTTAAAGTATATTTATTTCTTTGAAAATAAAATTCGATTTTCAAACTTTTACCTTTGTTCACGATTCAACAGTAACCAAAAGAATTCGAGGTACAGTATCAATACATTTGACAAATAAAGCCCCATTATAAGCATTCACATACCAGAACTTTATTCTTTGGATGAATAATCCAATTTTATACTAAAGGGTGATACGGTCAAAATTTGGTCAAGGGAAAACGCGTGTAAATCGGTGAAATCGTTTATTTAAAAAAATCAAATTAAATTTCTTTTGCAAGTTCAATTAGTATAAAATTCAGGAAAAATATTCAGTTAGGCTTCCACTTTTCCAAATCCGAATTGCCGGGCCTTACGCTTGACCCCTGCCATCAGATTTTGTACAGCCACCTTGTCCACCTTCTTCGCCGCAGAAAGCCAGTTTGCCTTGAACTGCTGCTCGCCCTTAGCAGTTTTTTTGGTCTTCTTTAGGTTCCGCTTGACAATAGCCCAGTATTTCTCAATTGGGCGGAGCTCTGGCGTGTTGGGAGGGTTCTTGTCCTTGGGAACCACCTGCACGTTGTTGGCGGCGTACCACTCCATGGCCTTTTTACCGTAATGGCAAGATGCCAAATCCGGCCAAAACAGTACGGAACAACCGTGTTTCTTCAGGAAAGGCAGCAGACGTTTATTCAAACACTCTTTCACGTAAATTTCTTGGTTGACAGTCCCGGAAGCTATGAAAATGCTGCTTTTCAAGCCACAGGTACAGATGGCTTGCCAAACCAGATATTTCTTTGCGAACTTTGACAGTTTCATGTGCTTGAAAACATCTGCTACCTTTCCCCTTCCTTTTGCCGTATAAAACTCCTGTCCCGGTAGCTGCTTGTAGTCGGCTTTGACGTAGGTTTCGTCGTCCATTACCACGCAGTCAAACTTCGTCAGCATCGTCGTGTACAGCCTCCGGGATCGCGCTTTGGCCGTCGTATTTTGTTTATCATCGCGATTTGGAGTCACTACCTTCTTGTAAGTCGATAGTCCGGCTCGTTTTTTGGCTCGATGCACGGTTGTAGACGATACACCCAGCTTATTTGCGGCATCTCGGAGAGAGAGGTTAGGGTTTCGCTTGAAACTACCGGCAACTCTCTTTGTCGTCTCAGCGGCTTCCGGTTTTCGATTTCCCCCCGATCCAGACTTCCTGGCTGTCGACAAACGTTCCCCAAACACTTTAATTACATTTGTAACGGTTGATTTGGCAACTTTTAGCGATTTTGCCAACTTTGCGTGCGAGTAGCTCGGATTTTCGCGATGCGCGAGCAAAATTTTGATACGCTGCTCTTCTTGCTTGGACGGCATTTTGACAACTGAAGAGTGAATTCCAAAATCAAAATAGGAGCAACATTCTACACACACACACCTTCAAAATGAGGGGTGTTCAGGTTTTTTAAATGCAAAATTGAAAGAAATACGTCAAGTTGATATTGACCAAATTTTGAGCGTATCACCCTTTAAGTTCATATTCTCTCTCTCTTTATACCGAAATAGGGGAAATGGTTCTAATATTGGCCTATGGCTCTAAGATTGGACCAATCGTTAAAAATCTGCTATTTATCAATTTTATCTAGATGAACGCGTCATTGGGACGGTACTAATGGATAATTTTGGTCGCTATTGAAAATTTAGTCGATTGCTGAATTTATGTATGGGCCCAAATTAGAGGCATTTAGGCCGACATTACATCCATTTTCCCTACTACACCTTGTAATAGAATCACATGCAGCCTACTCAGCTTTTTTTCCTTTGATTTGTTTTTCGTTGATCTTTTTTTTATGTGCTGAGCACCAATGCTACCGACGCCAGGGAGGCAGCTCCCACACCTGGACCCTACCTATCGAGCCCTCAACTCATGAAACGGGGACCAACGGCTTTACTTCCCTTCCCCTGTGATCAGAGATGTTATGCCTCAGAACATCCCGGCTGCGCCGACTGGAATTGAACACAGGCCTGCTGGGTTGAGAGGTAATCACGCTTACCACTACACCACCGGCGCCACTGAGCCTACTCAGCTTTTAAAAAGAAGACCTGAGTACGTTGACTGGTCTATTCACCGGACACTGTCCAAGCAAGTATCACCTTCAAAAAATAGGTTAGCTGACAGATCAAGAGCAAATTTTCATTACGTCGAAAGTAACAAAGGTAAACAAAGTCGAGCTATCAGTGTCAATCGATACTCCTGCTATTTCACTATATACTGTCCGAATATAGGATCACATCCCATTTTTAAATTTATTTACCAGTCAAATCACCTTCCGATCAAAATAGTTTTCGATGTTACTTAAGTCACCCGATTTCTATGGAGATGCTGTTTGCCTTAAGTAACAGCGCTGAGAAACCCGTGAAAAGTGTACGTTCGTCGTTTCGCTTTCTCATTATTAAAGTGAATAAATCGAACTGTTTCTTGCTAAGATGATTTCGGTGGTCCTAAAACGATGAATGGGCTGCACGTAAGGAGACGTAATTGATAATTCTCCGGAATATCCTGGTAAATAAACTTTGACTTAGGTAACAATAGGGGCCACCAAACGACGTATAATAACTTTTGACTCAAAAACCCAGTATTTTTTAACATGAAAGCTAGCGATTTGCATTTGTATGATTAAAACTCTGCTAAATATGTTAAGCATTGCTATCATTATGAGAATATATGTGTTTTATTGGAAATAGGAATAACTTTTCGGTCATCAAAACAAAACATTATTTTTCTTGGATCGGTGCGAATGTTACTTACGACATAATGAAAATTTGCTCTTGAGATGATACATGTTGCTTCAGTAATTTTGACGTTGAAACTTTGGAACACCTACTGTGTCAATGTGCATTAATTCATTAGCCCAACGAAATATGGTCTCCTGAACTAAAAAAGGTAACGAACTTCATTAGTGATGAAACGAAGAAGAAGAAGAAGAAGAAGAAGAAGAAGACGAAGAATAAGAAGAAGGAGAACATTTTCAAGTTCGGTTACTCCAGAAAAGTGTCCAAAGAAGCACACCCCAACGGTATTAAAACTAACTACAACCTGAAAAGTTTCACTCAACCGAACAAATTTGCCGAAAACGGAAAAACTCCATATGGTCTGGATCATTATGATTCAGATAAAACAATTATTGACTCACATACGCCCCCTACCCACTCAGAATTTATTGTCTTGTTTTATTTTTTCACCAAAATCCCAACAGCTGAACGTTGCGTAAAACTTTGGCCTTCATTTTAAAGCGTATTTTGCCGAAATATAATTTCAAAACACGTTCCACTTTGTTCAAATGATCAAATCTTGTAATTGCAGTGGAGATTTCGCTTAAAGTAGTTTAAAAACAATTTAATTGAATTGCCCAAATTTTACCAAACAGTTCAGCTGTTGGAATTTCTGTAAACATTACCAAAATCGGTGACAATTTCTAAGTGTGCAGCCGTCCATTTTTGAAATAAACTACCCCCCATCTCAATGGTCTCATTCAAGAGAACTTACTTCTGCCTACAGCTCTTCGAAAACGTTTCCAAATTGTGTATTAAAAATTCTGTCTCTAAGAGGCCTTCCAAACAAGTGTCAAAACGTTAAGTTTTATTTTACACGGGCTTCGAAATCCTAAAAACGAACTTTTGCCTCCCCCTCTCACTCTACCTGAGCTAGACAGTTCTTTGATGAGCAGAATTTCGTTTGAAATAAAAGCGCATTTTATGTTATGAGCAAATTCCCTTAGAAACAAGCAAGTTTTCTTTGAGCAATAACCTCCACCAATCTCAAGCTCCCCATCCACAGTTATTGACCGCTATCGGCTGATCAAAAGAGAACGGTGAGTTAAAATAGACTTGCCCCGTCCGCAGCGACGAACCTACCTTTTAAAATGGAAAACGCTCGGCTATTCGCACGCTGCTGCTTTGCCTCTGCTGCCTGCCGCAACTATTTCGCTATGAGCACCACCCCGTCTTTTATCGATGCAACACTTTACTTTCTTCCGAAACAACAGCTGTATTTTTCTTCTTCTTCTTCTTCTTTGTAGGTGCAGTCTTGTTGTTTCTTTCACACTAATTTGGCCTAACGTATATCTTCTTCGCGCTGAAATCGAAATTGAATGAATAATGGAACAAACGAAGCGAAAGCACACGCACGATAACACTGCAATCACTCCCGCCAAGACACACCTGTTTATGGCAATTTTCCTCTTGCTGCTTTTTTCGTTTAATTATTTTTTAACGAATTCAATTGCATTTCACCAATGTTGTAAGATTCGGTTTTTTAATCGACAAGCGATGTTCCACAGTAGTTCTCGATCGATCGGTTGCGATCCGGCGCAGGGGCAATGTTCGGTCTTGTTTACCTGTCAGCTAGCTCACTCGGTTCAGGTAAGGCACCCTCCGACTGGCAGTTTGAACTTGAAGCCGAGATAAACCTGTAGCGTGCCACTTGGGCAGGAGGGGACCTTGAAATTTACGCAATTTTCAACGCGTACGAACCGCACGAACGAAGCATGTAGTTGTTGGAGTGCTGCTTTTCGAAGTACGACTACTTCAATTAGCGCTTGTGCTTCCTACTTTAGCCAGCTGCAACTGCCTGGGAGAGCCACTGCCTAGCCAGTTGCTGCCACCAGCTATTACTCAACAACACTTGCTACGGTGCGCGGCCACACGGTCGGGGATTTTTTCCCAGACGCGGAAATTTTCTGATCAACTAGGTATGTGATCCGCGTATGATTTGCTCTAACAAATGCACCGATCAGCAACCGATCTGTTTTACACCGTTCGAACATCCAATTACAACTCCGGCAATTACTCACATGTACCGATTAACTCCGTAGCGGGGAAAGCCTTAAAACCCTTCTGATATCGTCTTCCCGCAGGACGACTAAATCTACGTAGTTGAAACTCGAACAGACTCGATCAACAGCAGCTAACTCGCAACGCGCGCGTGGTTTTGTGGTGGGTGTTAAGAAATGGTAAACCGATCACACCAGAACCTCACAGTAGACTGACTATCCAAGCCGAGGTGCGGTTGCGAAAAACTTGAATGGCAGGCTCTCGCGAATCGTCGTGAGCGCGAATCGTCGTGAACAGCGACGACCCCCGGACTATGGAGATCGTGAAAGCGCGCACGTGTGCAGGCTCCATCAACGGGGGGGTGTCTAACCTGGAGTTTGGAAATTCCAGAATCCTGTTTCTAGCTGTGGATGCGTCATCGTTGCTTCCGATTCTAGTCGATGATCTATCTCATTCGATCATGCAACTGGACAACCACAACCTCCGTACGTCAACGTCAGCGAGCGCACTTACTTTTCAGATGGTAGGGGAAAACCATCATCCACAATTTCCCCTTCGGCTTCGGATAGAGCTGCTAGTGGCTGATTGTTCTTTGTTTGTTTGTTTGGTTGTTTGTTTACCTTTCTGTGTACCGCTCGTTTGCTTTGTGGCTGCTGTCCACAGCCAGTAGGTTAGGTACGGCATGATTTTCGTAACCGGGTCCACCAGTTCACTACGACCGATGAATGAAAATAAGCTAATCAATGAAACGGTTGAGGGTGGGGGGTGGGACTCGATTTGGTTGCCAATAGTAGGTTTTAAGCTACATATCGAAGGCGCATTATTACATCGATGATGGTGATCATGGCTCGTGGATGTCGATGGTTTTGTTCTGCTTGAAACTAAACCGGGTGATAATTGTTTGTGATGATGGTGATCAACGGGAAATTATGAATATAAGTGCCTCATTGGTAAGCTGATCTCGTTAATCAGAGCTGATCGTTGATAGGTCATTAGGCCGAAAGGCTGAATACAATTAGGCCAAGATTTCAATAGTTATTCAAACAAATTAATGTCCTCCAATTTGCACGAAACTTTGCATTGTTTGTTATGGTCAATTATTAACGTGTGAGCTAAATTTCGGCCATTTTGAATACCGTATGCGTGATAATGTTTCCACCATTGAGCAATGTCAAAATTTAAAAATTCTCAAAAATTTTGTTTTCGAGTTTTTTTTTATTTATTCAAAGGGGAGATGTTTCTCAGAGTCTTAAACTATGTTAATCATCGATCGAGTTTCCATTTGCTGCAAATACGGCCTCCACACGCTTCCGGAATGCACGGCAGGTTCTAATAATGTAGTCTGGATCCATTTCTCTGCAGGTACGGGTCAATGTTTGTCTGAGGCTTGCTGTACTCGGGTGGCGTTTAAAACAGGCCTTGGCCTTCATGACGCGCCATATTGAGTAATTCAGCGGATTAAGATCGGGACTGGATGGCGGTCACATATCCTTCGCCCAGAACAGAAGATGTTCCTGCAACCACTTCTGAGTGCTGTTTGAGGTGTGGCACGGAGCCCCATCTTGTTGAAATTCAACATTTGGCTTCGGACCGTACTGTTTTTTGATCCACGGAAGAACATACTTACTTAAAATCCCAATGTAGACCTACGTGTTGACCTTGTCGCCTTCTGGAATGAACACCGGGTCCATTTTTTTTCCATCGGTAGCCACCAATCCAAACACCATAACGCTAGCAGGATGCTTGGTCAGATACACGTTCTTGTGCTCGTCGGCCACGTCTTTTACCGGAAGAGAACTAATATACCGGTCGGTTCTTGAATTTGATAGGGATAGACGGTAAACATGCTCTCGTCAGTGACAGGATTACCGGATTTTTTCGCTTAAGGAAGTTCAAGATTTTCTTGCATCGTTCGACGCGTAGCTCCCGGATGCAGTTGGTAATCATGTGAGTTTTTTTTTCCATGCCCTCGACTTTGCCCCGCAATCTTCCTTTACGATCTTCCATGCCGTTAAGTCACTGATCCCGTGTTCCATTGCCATTTTCTTTATTGAACGCACTGGATTCATCCGAATCTTCCATTTGATAGCAGCGATAACCCTCGGCGATTGAAATGTCTTTTTGCGACATTTGTGCCTGGGACAAATCCCGAATACACTGCCTCTTCGTCATGGTGCAACTGTCAAACTAAATAAATTATTTTCTTTTATACACAGCCTACTACGGTATGAGCTATAGGTAACGTGTATGCAAAGAAACCCAAGGCATTGTATGCACAGGTGAAACGGGAACCTTATTTGTACGATGGTGCATACGTTATCACGCATACGGTATTGTTAAAACAAAAATTAAAAATCGCGCATTCTATGTTTTTCAACAAATCATAGCTCGAAAAGTCACTCTCAATTGAAATAAGGTCTGAGGCAGAGTTGTAGGAAAAAACTTAATATTTTTTTGCAAAATTATACATGAAACAAAATTAAGAATGGGAACGAATATATTTTGGACATGCTGAAGTTCTTTCAACCTATGAGCCTAAAATTAATTACGACGGTCACTTCTTCCTATCTCGCATTTGTTAGGTCCGTCTAGGTGGGAATTTTTTTAAAGAAGGTGCCGTAAAACGGGGTGAAATTGATCAGCGGGGTGAATTTGATCGCTGAGTATACCCAATATTGTACTTATGCATAATATTTTTTACAATGTATACAAAGATACATTCGTACGCTTAGTAACGAAAAACATGTTACACATGAAAAAATATCACGAGAAATTTCAGCGATCAATTTTGCCCCGCTGAACAATTACACCCCGTTTTACGGTATGCATAAAAGTTAACCAAAAGTTACTCGCGCTGTTGTACTTTGTACAACACATATGAGTTTTCCATTGCCATTTTGTTGCTGCCAATCGATCTGAAACCAACTTGTATTCCTCAAAAAACATGTTTTGAACTAAAAAAGCTAAACTTTGATTACAATTAACCCCCAAAATGCGGATAATAGAGAAATGTAAATGGAAACCGCGTAAACGGTGTCCATACTACGTGGGATTGACTTAATTGGTTACAACATGGAATATCTCGAGATCCTGACCAGATAGAAAGTTACTGTCTTCGGCAAAGTTGTTCAGGAGTTCAAAGCCTATTTCTTACTGTACAATAGTTCAGAAATATCTCACTTCGTGGTGCTAGTATACATGTGAAATTCTCGTGTTTAAAATATCTCTAGATCCTAACCAGATAGAAAGTAAATGCCTTCAGCAAAGTTGTTCAGGAAGTCAAGCTCTTTTCGCTGGTGGAGTAGTTCAGAAATTTCACACTACGAGGCGCTAGTATATACGTGTAATTCTCGCATATACAATAGCTCGAGTTCTTGACCAGCTAGAAAGTTACTGTATTGAGCAAACTTGTTCAGGGGTCAAGACTTTTCGACTGGTAGACAGTAGTTCAGTATTTTCTCACCACGTGGCGAGAAAGTTACTGTTACTGTCTTGGGCAAAGTTGTTTAGGAGATCAAGGCCTTTTGGCTAGTGGACGGTAGTTCAGAATATTTCACTTCATGGTACAAGTATATACGTGCAATTCTCGCATATGATATATCTCAAGACCTGCTAAAAATGTACTGTAATCGGCAAAGTTGTCCAGGAGATCAAACCCTATCGTTGGTGGAAAGTACATAATTTTCTCACTAGGTGACGTTGAAAGACACGTGAAATCCTTGCATATAAAATATCTCTGAATGACCCGCATACTAGTGCCACGTAAAGGGAAAATTCTGAATTACTGTACACCAACGAAAAGATCCTAACAGCCTGAACAACTTTGCCAAAGACAGTAACTTTCTGTCTGGTCAGGATCTAGAGATATTTTATATGCGAGAATTCCTCATGTATATTAGCGTTGCAAAGTGAGAAAACTCTGAACTTAAGTCCACCAGCAAAAAGGCCTTGACTTCCTGAACAACTTTGCCCAAGACAGTAACTTTTTATATGATCAGGATTTCGAGATATTTTATATGAAAATTTCACGTATATACTAGCACCATATAGTGAAAAAATTCTGAACTATAGGCTTTGAACTTTTTCGAAGACAGTAACTTTCTATCTGGTCAGGATTTCAAGATATATCACATGCGAGAACTTCACATGTATACTAGCGCTATGTAGTGAGTAAATTTTGAACTACTGTCCACCAGCAAAAAGGTTATGATCTCTAGAACTACTTTGGCAAAGACAGTAACTTTCTATCTGGTCAGGATCTCGAGATATTCCATGTTGTAACCAATTAAGTCAGAACCCTCGTAGTATGGACACCATTTACGCGGTTTCCATTTACATTTTCTCTATTATCCGCATATTTTGGGGGTTAACTGTAATAAATATTTAGCTTGTTTAGTTAAAAGCAAGTTTTTTGAGGAATACTCGTTGATTGCAGATCGATTGGTAGCTAGGCTGCAAAATGGAAAACTCACACTGTTGTACAAAGTACAACGCGTTAGTACTCATGTTACAAAAGTTGGCGCGAGTAACGGAGGAAATATAATATAACATAAGGAAACAACTGATCATACCATAAAAAAAGTCATTCAGAAGTAAATCTTAATACGGAGACCTGACTCTATGCTTGCAGTCCATATTATTTTTTGTATGGGCTGTTCATAAACTACGTAGACGGTTTTTGAGAGATTTAAAACCCCCCTCCCCCCTTCTGTAGAAGACAGTCTCAAACACAAAATTTAAAAAATTGTATGGACCGTAGACATCTGCCAAACGCTCCCACCCCCCCTAAAGTGTCTACGTAGTTTATGAACAGCCCCTTAGTTAAATGCGTTTGGGAGATAGGAAAACTTTTGTGGAAAACTAGGAACTAGGAAAACTAGGAAAACTCAGAGTGGACCACTCTACGTGTTTTGCCGTTTTTCCCATTTTGAATCGCCTGATAAACAAGAAATATATTTAAAAACAATGAATTCATATAATTTTGATTGATTTACTTACCAATTTAATCAGAAATCTGAGATAATAGCACGATCGACCAACCGGAATTTTTTTTTTTGTCGCTCTTTTGATGATTCTCATTTGATAAGTGTCCAAAATAAGTTGGAAACATTTTTTTACGATCTTTCTTGGACACTTTTTATTTAATACTTTTAAAGTAAAATCTTAAGGTGAAATCTTTATAAACA